AGAATAAGTAGATATCGCATACAGTAATTGTAAAAACTACTTGAAACTTTCCTTCAGTGTATAAAACACCTCTAAAAATCAGCTAAAAACCACCAGAAATTGCATTCTTAGTGTACTGTAGTCTATAGAAGCGATGCAAGAATAGAACCTGCTTACTACGATGTCACAGGCAATTGTCTAGATTTGGTACGAGTAGCCGTATTAACGGAATGAAATTAAGATTCTGGTGTTCGGCATTTTAAAATGTGGCTGTTGACCTTATTAATGGGGGAGCCTATTAACAGGGTTTTTTAATAAGAAAGATAATGTATGGCTGTTTTGCCGGGCCGAAAAAAGTGGCCATAATATCGAGGTGACCGTATTACCAAGGTGGCCATAAGGCGAGGTTCAAAACCCTTGAAAAAGAACGTAATGGGTGATTCCATGTTGCGGACATTACATTCAGATACTAAAATTAACATTATTTTTAAACCCCAATTTAAATGTCAAAATGTTCAACAAGGAAGTTCAACCATATCTAGAGAGTAACTTTTAAGTATTCCCTTTGTACCTAATAAAAAGATGTTTTAGTGAGCTCTCACAACATTGAAGATATGAGTTGACAAAACAGTGTTTCGGACGTTACATTTTTAAACAACCACTTTTTAAAGTAACTTTCTTCACAGATATTTTCTTGTGAATTTTTAACCTTGAGCAGAAAATAATCGTGCCTTCAAAACATGGCAATAATTAATTTTTTTAACCATCGAAAAAAAATTCCATGCAACTTCGTTCCAATGATTCTACAAACAAAAGTTTGTGTTGCGGACATTACACAAAAATGTTGCGGACATTACATTTTTGGGAACACATTTTTTATCATCCACTTTTTAGTCAGTGTCGTTCACTGTGGCTATGTCAATTTTTTCTGTAGTTACTTGTCTAAAAATGAAGCTGTGAAATTATTATTTACTTTATTTAATACATCCTATTATAATGTTATATAATCTCCAGCTGACCTAGTATCATGCAATACCACTCAGATTTTTTTCTGGTATACTGACTCCTTAAAATGATTTCAAAATTAATTTTAGTGCATCCCAAGTAAATGTTGTGAGAAAAAAAAAACTCAGTAGTGAGGAGATTATTTTGTTTTTTCTGAAACTGATTTAGCTTAACTGAAATTATCATTTCTTGTCATTCAGTCTCACTTAAATACAGATAAAATGTAAATTTGCACTAAAATTGCACATTACATTACAAATTTTACAAAGATTATTACATTACAAATTCTACTTAAAAAATAATACTCATTCAAGTGTGAGTAGAAAATCAGAAGATACAATGATGAACAGTTGTTTTCCTCAAAAAGCATACTTACAAACAGTTCTAGGCATGCTCAACAGTACAAAACCCCTGACCAGCTACTCAATTTCTCCTTTTCCAATCCTCTAAATAAAAATTCATTTTAGTTGATTGTAAAGAAGGTCAATTGCAATGCCTAAGACAAGCACTGAAAGGTCAAGAAAATTAAGAAAAAAGTTGAAAGAGGATTCTAAGTTGTAGGAAGTCCATAAAACCAATGTGTAATGTCCACAACGTAATGTCTGCAACACTTTTCAACTTATAATTTCTGAGCAGAGAAAGCAGACCCAGGAAATATTTTGAGATTAAAATAGAGTATACATCAGACTAGCTGAGCCGCATCAATAACACATGAAAATACAGTGAACTGTGTAGAGGAACTGAAAAAAGATACCTTAATGTTGTGGACATTATGTAATGTCCACAACACAAATTCAATGTCTATTTTCTCAGGAAAGTGCAAGTAGCTGGATATGATAATTTATGGCCTAATGATAGTGTAAGGCAAAGGTTATACACACATACTTTTGTCATGTTTTCTTAGATGTAAAAACTTTGTTTAAAATTTCCTTCCAAAAATTCCAAATACAATGAGATTCAAATTCTCCGGATTTCATACCTTCTCACATTAAGCACATGGACAAGATGCACAACATCTCAGTAATTTCAAACACCCCATTGTCTCAACTTTCTGTTGGTATAACTTTCATTGCGCAAAATTTTATTTTAAAAAATTCAAAATTTCATTGTCTCGGGTAGAATTGCCCAATGCTTTTTCAATTGATTTTCTTTTCATTTTCTTTAACAGCAAAACTCTCATTCCTCTTGAAATTATAGCTAGTACCGTGGCACAAAAAAAAGGAGAAGGGGTTCCGCGACCCCTGCAACTCTCCCCTGGCTAAGCCATTGCTACATGGGGTCATTATACTGGGCAAACTGACCCTCAAATAAACCTGGGCCGAGTTGTTTAAAACTGGGTTAAGATAACCCACGGTAAGTGCAAGATGTACATTCAGGACCCAGTTGTTCAAAGGACAATTAGCGCTTAACCCGGGGTTAAATTCAACTCGGGTTCCTTTTTCTTTTGCTCAAAAGTGGATAATTTTCGGATAATTTTCTCTGTTATTTTTAGAGCTTCCAATCATCAACTTGTAGACAAAAAGAATTGAAACTGAAAAGCTTTTTAAGGTTTCAAATCTGAATTCAAATCTCGCACTAACCCTGGGTTATCTTAATCCAGCTTTGAACAACTCGGCCCAGACGCATAAATGTATGAAAGCTTAACAATAATTTCAGTTTTAATTTTTCTTGTCTAGAAGTTGAATATTGGAAGCTTTAAAAATAACAGAGAAAATTATCCGAGAAAATGCTTTTGAACAAAACAAAATGAAACCCGGATTAAATTTAACCCCAGGTCAAGCTCTAGCTAATCGGCCTTCGAACAACTCACTGGGCCCTGATTCACTCAGTTTCCTAACCCTACTTCAGAGAGTCGTTCCGCGTTCTGCGGCCATTCGGCGTTATCTAAGATACAATCTTACACTGCCCGTCAGGCAATCAAAGCAGCTGATAAAAGTGAAACAAAGCAACAACCGGTATTCAGTACACACGTCTTAGCGCAGTTAAGCCTAAGCTTATATAATAATTATGATATGGTACCACAGTGTAGCTAATAATACTCACAACTCCGCGAACAACGTGGTCGCCAGGACGATGTTTACAAACACCCATGTAAAAGCTGCATGGGATCTCCTTGTCAACTGCTTTCGTCGGAAGGAGTTTTCAACCACAGGGCTTTCACTTTTAACTACTCTTCTCTGCATTTTGCTGGTCTTTACACTCGTAGTATTTGATTCCGAGATAACAACCACGGGATGGCGACAGATCATGACTACTTATTTTAAGATGTAGTACCCAGTTTTAAATCGAGCGTCTGTGTAGCCTCGATTCTGTGAGTTAGTAAGCGGGGTCAAAGGGTAAATCTCTTTTTTTTTTCCATTTCTAATTATTTCTTCCCACGTACGTTTGATTTGAATTTTTGGACAGAAATCTCACACTTCTATTCATCGTCAACTTAAAATACAAAAATAATACAACAGCAAAATAATAAGAAGCCTACAAGCAAGCTCCACTCACTTGGAGAGTTCTGGGAAAATTTAGACAGTGGAGCAGACAGCCCCCAAGGGGTTACTCAACCAATATTCGGTGACCCGCTGAGAATTGGAAACCATGACACCTGTTTAAAACAAAAGAAGTCCCTAAACTATTCAACCTGTTTAGGACAACACCCATAATTAGGGGTGAAATGACAAAATAAACACTTTCTTAATTTTAAGTCATTTCTCATTCTTCGAGACAACCGGGACAACTGGGAAGACCGGGGTGATTGAAATGACTGGGATGACCGGGGCCACCAGGACGACAGGGACATCTGGGACAACCGTACAAACCAGACAACCAGGACAATTCAGAGAAAACCGAATATGACCATAGAAAACCGGACAGCCATGACTACCGGAACAACATTTTGACAAATGGGGCAGGACAACAGGCCGGGACAAAAAGGACAACCAGGACAGCAGGGACAACAAGGACACCAAAAACAACAGCAACAAAAAGGACAGCAGGCACAACAGGAACAACAGGGACAGCGACAACAGGAAAAACAAGGACATTAGGGACAACAGGGACAACAAGGAGGGATAACAGAGACAAAAAGGATATCCAAGACAACCAGAACAACCAGGACAACTGAGATAACCGAAAACCACCAGGGCACCAGGGTCTACTAGGATAACCGGGACAGCAGAGACAATTGGGACAACCAGGATAACTTGGAAAACAGGCTAACCGTGACAACTGGGAAAACCAGGACAAAAGGGAAAAACGGGAAAACTACGACAACTGAGACAACCCTAAATGACCGGGACAACCAGGACAACTGGGGCAACCATGAAAACTACAACAACCGAGATAACCGGAAACGACCGGGGCAACCCGGACAAAAGGGCCAACCAGGACAATGACTTTCCTGGTTGGCCAATTTTTGGGATGATTAGGATAAATGGGACAACTAGGATTACTACAGTGAAACCTTAATTAAGCGGACACTGTATTAAGCAGACACCCTACATTAAGCGGACAGTAGCCAAAGTCCATAAAGTTATTTCCCTTATTTACTTCAAATGAAACATTTATTAGGTGGACACCTCTATTAAGCGGACGCGGACACCTAAAAATGGACACTTGTAATTAAATTCCACCACCCAACATGCCAGACACCGGAAATGCGAAAGATTGCCTCAAATTGCCACCCACAAATTGTTCGATTTTTACATTAAAAAACTTGACTTGACGAACTTATTTGATTAGTTTCACAGCACAGTGTTGTTTTCTATTTCGTTTTGTTTGTATAGAGCTTGTTTCGCTCATCTGATTTCTTCAAATTTGAGTTGCAATCCATGTTTACGGTACTATGATCAATTAGTCCACTTTAAAAAAGAAATTAATGCAAATGTATATCGTCATAGTCTCTGGGAGTACTCTAAATGTTTCCACTGTTCATTTGAATGGCCATTTGACACCTCATATGACATTATCTACCGAAACCTGTATTAGAGGGACACCCTGTATTAAGCAGGACACTACAGCATTCTCCGAGGGTGTCCACTTAATACAGATTTCACTGTACTAGGATGACTGGAATGTGTACGATGACTGTGATGACCTAGATGACTAGCACGCACTGCAGACAGTCTAAGCCTTGTCTCAACTCTAACCTTCTATACAGACGGTCCATACAAATGGTTTAGACGATGAGTGGGCCGGCTGGATTACTGGAATGACTAGGAGGACTAGGTTGACTGGGATGACTACTAGTATGACTGGAATGAGTACAATGACAGTGATGAATACTATGACTTGAATGTTTGGAGTCCTTTGTCTGATTTATCGAGTTCACGTGACATGGTCGCTCAATTGACGGCTTCCCAACTCAACAGTTCGCTCTACTTATAACAAACTCAAGGGGTCGAATTGTGGCTAGTCTAGGAAGACCAGGGTCAGTTGGGTGAATGGTATTGGTGAGATGACTAATTTGGATGGCAAGTACCTTTCGGTAACAGGAGGCTCAAGCGAGAATTTAATTTCTTGTTAAACAGCTGAAGGCGTTTTGCTGTTTAAAGAAATTACATCTGTAAACAGTGGACCGAGTCCTCCATGATCAATTTAGTTTGCAGGAAAGGGCTATTCGCACCTCTGTAATTATTTTAACTTACTCAATTTGTAGTCAACGTGTTCCAGTTACTTGATGTACAACTCCTCAAATTAATAGGACTTGGCTCCGAGGCTTAATTAATTTGGAATGAATAACTTGGTTTTTTTTTAGCTGACTTTGAGAGCAATTAGGGTTAAAAGAAGGTAAGGGATTTTACGACCAATATACAGAATAATGTGAAAACACTTTTATTTTTGTTCAAAGCAGCACTTTGTTGTACCGCTTCATTGTGTACAAACATCACAATGACATCATACACTTTGGTTTTGGTCAGAGTCCACACTGTCCAAGCATGCAACAAAGAAGTGTGGACAACAAGAGTTGATATAGAATGCAGCTTTAGCGAAAGTTATGATTAAGCAATGCGAGGTACTCCTTGAAATGAAAGGTCACAAGGCCCATCTCTCCATTAAGCTGCCAAATGCCTGGCTAACTACCTTATTGACAGGGCAATCAAGTGATCACTATCCTTAAAAAAGAAATTGTTAACCCTTTAAACCCTAGTATCAAAATTCAAATTCTCATTTGTTTGTCCTATATGTTTTCAATAAAAGTAGTAAGGAGAACTTGTTGAAGTATCAATTAGATTCATCTTGTGTGACCATGTCCTCAATTCTCATGACCACTGTGTTTTATAGAGCAGTGATATTAAAAGGAGAAATTTGACACTGATCACTCCTAGGGCTTAAAGGGTTAACTGAAAATAAAGTGTTATGTTCACAACACGGTAAACCTGTAACAGCCCCTAACACTACAAAAAGTGAAAGCCAGAATTTACAAGTAAATTAATCTTGGACCAAAAATTCAACCATTATTACAGAAAAATTAATGTGTGTTTTAGTTCAAAAAACAACAGAAAGAAATACAAACTCATTTCCAATGACAGGCAGGCACGGATCTAGAATAAATACTGATCCATTTCCAAAACAAGAGCAAACAGCGCAAGCTTCTTGCTAAGTCTGGGGGCATGCTCCCTCAGGAAACGTTTTGGCTTTTAACTCCCCCATTCAGACAGGATAATTACCGACTGTCCAAACCATTTTCCAGATTTCAATTTGGAACGTTTTTGTTAATCAAAAATATATTGGTTATCAGAAATCAGACCAATTTCCATAAAACCGAAACTGGTGTGGATCCGTGCCTGACAGGCAATTGAAAACTGCAATTCACCACTTAGAAAATGAAAAGGGAACTGGAGCCAAAATGTGCTCTGCAATTGCCTCTGGGATCATTACTGCCCCATTCCTAGACACAGTCTCACAAGTCTTTGCAAAAGTTTACTCGGTCAAGTTTCCTTCTCATACCATGGCAGAAAACATTTAATCCTTACTTAGGTGTACAAACGTGTATCTTAAGAAATTCAATATGACAGACAGTCATTAACCCTTTCATTGCCAGAGTGAATGTTGGAGTCCCTTAAGGTAGTCTTAACTTTTGAGTCTGTGGACAAACTCCTATGTGACCATTCAAATGAAACCTCTCTTCCTGTACTTTCAAGTGGTGCTATTTGTTTTTAAAATTTTACAAAATGAAATTTGGGAATTCTTGTTGAATTTTGCCCCTTGAGCACACTTGGCACTGAAAGGGTTAAGCCACCCTTTTTAATTCAAACTCAAACCAACAGTTGTTGTTCAAGAAAGGAAATGGTCAAGATTTTTTAAAGGGTACTGCCGTTTTGGGGGAGTTACCCTCTCTGAAAGATTTAGACTTCATTATTTTTCTCTAAGGCAGTGCAAAACAAACCATATCCAAGGTAGGTTTACAAATAACAATCAATATACTTCCACTTATTTGGAAATCACTTTTGCCCTGTAAATAAGGTCAGAATAACTCAGTGGCAATATTATTTCAAGCCCTATTTCAAGGAATGACCTCCGGGCGCAATTAGTATACAAGCAAAGTGAAAGGCACACATCCTCTTTCACTTTCAGCATCTCTATACCATCTCAAGCTAGTGACACACCAATCAACATTTTTGATCAACAAGTGTTAATTTAGCAAAATAAAAGGTTCAACAAAGGGTACAGATGTATTAAACATGTTAAATACTTTGAAAGGGAATACAAATTGCAACGGGGGCTGTAACATTTGTTGATCAACTAAACAATGTTGAATCGTCTGGCATTAGCTTAAAAAATACAAGTTTTACGTCTCACAAAGCTGCCTTTGACTACAGTGTTATAAATGGTTATAATCACTTATGTGTTCAAAGAAATGCTTCTCAAATAGTTCATGTACTACACAAGTTCACTCAAATACACTGGTTGAATTAAAGATATTTTCACTCAACAGAAACCAAACAATACAAAGGGAAGTCAAATGATCCGGCAGGTTCTCTCCTGTCAAACAAATGCAGCTACAAAGAAAAATGCTCCAAGGACAAGTTGTAATTACGTCAAGTAGGCCTTTTCACAGGAATGGTTTTCATGGAATCTTTCCCTTGACAATGTAGCATCAATGTAGCTCCATATATAACAACAATAAGCCGATATCCTTGGACAACATTGGTAGATACGCGTAATTTATAAATAACAAATCCAAGGACATAGAAACAGGATAGTTGTGATGTATTAATTCACCACAGGTCCTTTGCATTGTTCTCAGACATTTGGGATTGGATAAACTGCCATGATTTCATCTCAAAAAGGTGTAACTATTTCAAAACTCAACCAGTGATCATCCAATGCTTCACATAAAATCATACTTGAACCATTCATCTTCCTTTTCTCTTGCTCAGTCATCAAGTTCTCTTACAGTAAGTGGCTTCGCAAATCGGAAACAGTTACAGATAATATAAGCAAGATCACATAAATGCAGAAAGAAGTTATTGCAAGATTTGTATGCTGGCCTTCCCACTTTAATCAAGCTCTTGGACAGAGGTGGTTGTCTGGGTGTTAAGTTTTCCACAAATATTGCTAACCATGTTTTCAACATGAAATACAACTATTGACTTTCTAGGTTAGAAAGAGGCCCAAAACTGCACAATGTGTGTGTGAATAATACTTGGGGTAGTGAATGTCACTGCTTACTCCACATTTGTAGCAGAAGGAAGTAGGCTTTGAGAAAATATAGTCAGGTGCGCATGTTTACAAGGACACATGCATGTCTTGTATCTACACTACGACCACCAATTACTTTTCTTCCTCCTAAATGTTTGTACTCTTCTTTGTTGGTTCAATAGTATTCCTACCCCCCAAAAAAAGTGTACGAGTTATACGAATGAAATTGGTGTCTTTTTTCACATCTACAAAGGCAAGACCACTGATAAAGGAACAAAGAATATGGGAATAAAGAATGCCTTAAAGTAACAATTTTTTTGATAAACAAATTTGGTAACCTAAAGATGAAGTAGGAACAGTTGTTACATTGTCTAATATGAACCCACAATTACACCTAAAGGAGATAACCAGTCCAAACAAAGGGGGGTGGGGGAGAGAATAGAAGTTTTAATTCTGGCCCCAGTGCAGATATGCAAATAGTAAGGAAGGAAGGTGCACAAAAGAGAAGGCAGGAAATATTAGTTTCACTTGTTTAAGGCCAGCAGAGTTAAGCCAGCAGCACAAATACTTCCCACTGTGAATAAGCTTTTCCACATTGTCTGTGATTGCGAAGATTCCGAAAAGTGGGCAACAAACCCATCCTGTCAAAAAGGAAACAAAGCAATGCTTGTTAACTACATTAAAAAGCCATACATAATGTTTAAAGTTGTTTATAATATGATTCATCAGTTTTCAGAGGATGAAAATGGATCAAGTAGATTGGCCTTTCAATACTGTACACACAAAGTAAATTGTCGTTGGATTACAATGTAAGATGAGATAAAAACTTCAAAGTACAGTCAACTTCTGTTAACTTAAGCCCTCACAAACTCACAGCATGCGCTAACTTAAACCAAAATCAATTTTCCCTGGGTTTCAGTCATACATTTACTGTAATTTTACCCTTGGTAACTCAAACCTTCGACAACATGAACCTCCCACTACATGTATCTCAAAGCTTTCTTCATTTCACCACCAACAATTTTCTGTATACAATGGAACCCCGTTAATACAGCCACCAGTGGGTAAAAAAATGGACGTATTAATGAGGTGGATGTATTACCGGGGCAGCATCAAATTTCATGAATTAAGGGCTGTTATGACAAATATAACATACATTGCTTTCGCACTTGTCGAACTGTTTTCCTCAATAAACAACTGGAATATCGATATCATGTACTGTAACTGTATACACTACTTGAAACTTTCCTTCAGTAAAGCACAAAAACCTTTTAAAATCCCGCTATTAAACCACCATAGACGCCTTTTAAGCGTAACGTCATCTAAAAACAATACAAGAACAGGCTCAGCTTGCTAGGTCAATGAAATCGAAATGTCACAGGCCTTTCAATTTTCTAAATTCCGAACAAGTGGCCTTAGGGTGCGTTCCTTTGAGATGATCAGGATCAGGATCAGTGATCCAAGATCACTGGGATCATGGTAGATCAAATAAACCAATGAATCCACTCTGGACAAGGATACAAGGATTCATTGGTTCATTTGATCTACCATGATCTGAGTGATCTCGGATCACTGATTCTGATCCACACCATCCCAGGATGCTGCAACGATAATGACAATGTTTGCCAAAAAGAAACCACTTCATGAGTGATGTTTTGGTTGGAGTCAACATCATTGCCTAGACTCTAACTACCATGCTGATGTGTTGAATCACTAGGTGAGTAACACCTTCCTTGACACCTTGGGTGTTAAAGCTGTCATGTCTTTCACACTGAATTTTGGCAGTTTCCAGGATTAGTTAAACTCAACAAATCATAACAGAGATTCAAGAAAAACAATTTGTAAAATTACCTTGCCCCAACTTAGTGTACTTAAGGAATGTTGAACATTTTCGTATTGTTTACATATTTATAAGACTAATCATTTTCAAGGAAAATCAAATGAAGAGAGGCAAAAAACATAAACAAAACAAATTATTATTTAGCCCTCTAAAATTTTGAAGTGCCATTTAAGAGACGATAATACAAAATTGTATATCGTTACGTAACTAAAACCTGAATTCTGAAGCCTGATCAAATATGTATGAATGATAATCAATCCTACAGGCAATCTACCCGAAACATCCACACTTGACAACCGGAAATAAAAAAAAACCTCCATGATTTTTCACGTTTATAGCCACATAAACAACAATGTGCTTGTGCATTTTTATTCAGGACATGAAGCAGTTTTAGCTTCCCAGTAAAAGCAACCACAGAAAATTATTTACAAAGAGAAAAAACAGCAAGGTATAAAAAGTATCCTGCTGATAGAACGAAATTTTCATTTTACATGTTTACACTTCTAACACCCACCAAAAATGCCTCACGATTAAATAATATTTCTTGAATTTGCATCAAAATGAAGGACGACCCTACTTTCGAGACAGGAAAACAAACGAAATATCGACGAGATAAATGAATGTGACTCACAAACCAATGTAAATACAGACTGAAATTTGCATTCAGCAAATTACTACGACACGTACAGCTGGTAGGCAAGATAAAGAGAAAAATAACCAAAAAACATTTAAAATAATATAAAAAATACCAAACCAATACAATTTTTTAAAAAAATACAAGGATTAAACTCACCCAGCCACCGTTTTCCCTGATCCACGTTAGTAAATTGTCAGCGATAAATGACACAATCCATTCGAGGATGTGTTGGACCATTTCTGGTCGTTGCGTCTCTACGAAGTGATGAGCCACTACGCCTCCGAACGTGAACAACGACACTATTCTTCCCCAATTGATTCCGGCTTGAAAAATCTCTTGCGCGACTCCAACAAACGTAGGATGAGCTGAAACTGGTGTTATTCCTAACGTAGTACACAATGATTCGAATAAGTCGGGGTGTTCTGCCTCCATAATAGTGGCCAGTTTTCGTAGAGTACTTGACGATGTGCTCGTCGGTGTCTGAGGAATAAGAAACTGACGAGGTAAACCACCAAGTTTGTTCTGCTCAAATTTGTTTCTTAGCCGATAGGAAATATAGTCCAGGGCGAGTGCAAATGAGTCCTCGATGATTTCTTTCTCAAATCTTGACATTTGGGAGGTATTAAGAGTAGGAGAAAGATCTTCGTTGTTCACAGCAGCTGTCGCTCCGGCCATATTGGGTTCCTCGCTTTGAAAGTGAAAGTGTTCGCACTAATTCTTGTATGGCTCGGAAGACGTTTCTCCGTCTCAGAGAAAGAAAAAGTCGATGAAAGATAGATGTAGTTACCCTAAAAAAGAAAAAGTCAATTAGAAAACCAAGTATCGTTGGTGGTCGCGTATATTTTCCCGCTGACGCAAAAACACACACGATCACTAAGCAAGTAGTGAAACACGCTTGAGTGCCTCCGTTTACCCGTTAAAAAACGAAAACTATATTACTCACAGAAGTTAACCAATGTTGAAAACACTTCGCATGGTACTCGAAACAGCAGGTTGAAGAGCAAAAAGCATTAGAGAGAGAAAGTAGAAGCAAGCCTTGGCGCAGAAGCACTAAAAAAAATTGTCACCGTCAAACGAGCCTTGGAGTGGCGAAGAAAAAGTAGCAAAGAGAATCCCTTTGGCATGCCGCGCCGTGATCTGATTGGTCAAAATGAAACCCTCTCAATTTTGATTGGTCTATACTAATGACCTCCAAAAATCCAGCCTAGTCATCTCGAGATTATTTTTCATCCGAAAGTGAGGTCACTCGCGGATATAACATGTGTCGGAAAACAGAATAACAATTAGGGGGAAATTAGCTGCCTTGTCATTTCTTTCTAGCCAGAAAAACATATATCCAAAAAAATAAATTGAGATATCTTTAAATTTATGTCCTGAGATTTGCAAACTTCACGAAAATACGAGGTCAAGACAATTTTTAAAAAAGTAAACATTACAACTGCGATCTCAGTATTTCAGAGCAAATCGCTCTTCTTGCATGGCATGGCTAATGCATGGCCTGTAACAAGTGAAAAAAAATAGATTAACATTAGCCGGCAACATAAGAAGATAAAAATCAGGAAATTTGGTAGAAATGTCAAGCTCAATGTGTTGACGAAATTTATGCAAATCCTAGTGAAGATTTCGTTACGACATTTATAATTAATGCAGCTGAAAAATCAGCGTGGAAATGGTGTGCTTTCTTGTTTTGAAATTTCAGGTCCAAAGATTGTGCACGTGGGCATCAAAATACTTGTCAAAATGGCGCTTTGGATTGGACAAAATGACAATGAAAATCATAACACGCGCGAATCATTGTTTTCTAGACAATAGCCATTATCATTTGAACCAATCATAACAGGAAAAATATTGCTAACGTCTACACCAGTGTCTTCGATTTGGCAGGGCATCAAAATCGGTGAATATATTTATACGCAGTTAAATATTTTTTTTCGCGGGAACTTTTTTTATGCATCTTGTTATTTGAGCGACAAAAGAAACCATCCCGAAGAGAGTGAACAGCTATTCTCGGCTTCGCAATGAACTCAACCCTTCCTTAGTGGAAGGCTGACAGTTTTTTCAAGCAAGAATCAGGGAGTGCTAGTTATTTCGACCATTTTCTCTGTCAGCGACCCTGTGCGGCGAAACTTTCAGCAACAAGTTGTTGACAAAGTGGGGCTCTTCGAAGCTAAAAAAATTTATCCTGGTAAGTGGCACATCCAAATTTTACACTGCCAGAAACTTAAGACTTTCTAGTTAAATTTTTGGGTTACAACGACACCCAGCTTTGCTGCGGACGTATCTACTTTCAAAAATTTATTTTGATATCGATGGCTCGGATCGGAAATGAAGCTGATGTCTATTTCTTTCGCTTAAAAATATATATAAACAAAGTTATTCATCGGGTTGTTGGCCCGAGTAATGAACAGGCCGTTAATTTACGTTCGTTTCGCTGATAAAATGGCTTCAAATGGCCAAGTGGTAGGACTTTTTGACCGAGATAACTTCGAATTAAACCCATTCTAAAGGTTATTTTGATCTGTTTCATATTTATAGAGGGAACGCTCTAAGATGGATTGCGACAAGGATAAGTCAGCTGATAACGAGACAGAGAAAAAAGAGGCCTGCGCTTCATGTGAATTAAGCCAGGAAACTAAAGAGTTGTGCGGACAAATAGGACGATGTTTGGCACGAATCGGAGATACATTAAATAGCCAGTTACGACTGACAAGAAATGGACAAAACCTTCGACTGAACTGTCGAGATCGCGAAAGACTCAACGATGATGAAACGAGACTGCGGACGGGGATAAATAAACTTCCGTAATCACCGGAAGGTTTTTAACAATCGATTTGCGGTACTCGAATGAATATATTCCAAACACTAAAGGAATTATACGTGTAAATCCAGACGGAGTTTAATGTACTTTTTTTTGAGATGATTTAATATTCCATGACATTATTAGCTACAAGCTTTGTACATTTCGCGACGTCGATGTTAAACGGAGAAGAGACAGATACAGAATTACGGATTGTTTTATATAAAGAATATCCAGCCTAGGCATCATGTAAATATTTTTTTGACAACAGTGGCAGAATAGCAAATAAAATCAGCTGATGTAAAGCAATATTTTGGTACTTAGTTACCATGGTTGCTCATTGTTCTTCTTCCAGAGAAAATTAGTACAATGCTGCTGAAGTCGGAAAAACAATGTAAAAAGTGGAACAATAGTTCATTGTGCTGTGTGCAAAATGAATGACTTCTTTGTTTATAATGACAACTTATATGTACCACAAGATAAACGCTTTCAGGGCGATTCGAACAGTTCTTTTTTTTCACATTCATTTTTTAAAGTGTAGGGGAAAACCCTGGAGACAACGTCAATGAAAACTCTCCTGCTATCACCGCCATGACCTTGAATAATGAACCTTTGAAGTGGACTACGCCGAATGATTTCGCCTTTTCTTTCAATGCACTATGACAAATTTGATTAAAAATGTTTTGACGAGCAAAGTAGAACAGGGAAACCTTTGTTCTCTATATGCTCCGTTCAGACAAGCCTTGTGCCGCGAGCAACGTATTGCATAACATACCCCGCGGCTTTATCAGCATTATGCTAAATTTTGGAGGCATCAGTTTCCTCATGTATTATTATTATTAGTTTATGAAATCTAAACTTGCGCCAAAGGTCTGTTTGGCAACTTGAAAACTTCTCAAAGAAATATTTGCCCCAAATTAGCTTTAATCAGGTCGGTTTGCTATAAACTGTTACATAATATCTCCCAAAGAATTTTAAAATCCACCTTGCAAAAACTGACCCACTTCTAATATCAAAGCTCTTCATTGCGATGATTCCAACCCATTCATGATGAACTCGTGATTATTAAACACGGTATCTGTATCAATATCACGAGTTGTTTTTGTGTTCACGAGCTGAGACGGTAATAAAAGGCAATACTGAAATAACCAAACTGTGACTCCAGATCTAAACAGTTAGCCTTTCTTTTTAGACTATCCCTGTTCAACAGCGATCTCATTTCAATGCAAACTAAAAGAACACGAACAGTGTCATTTGGAAAAGAATTAGGATTTGGTGCATGTTGATAAACAATCTAAAATCAAGACGATGACTTTGCACTCAAGTGACGCACACATGCAATATCCGTTAAACAACTCACAAAAATACTGTATGCCATGCACCCAAAATTATCAAATGTTGAGCCTGCGAACCCATAAAATTTTCACTTTTGAGATTTGGCAACAGGTCACCCTTTTCGCTTCGAATACGTTTGAACAGCGTAAACATGTTGGCTCGCAGAATAGGGTCAAGACATTCGTTTCAAAAATAAGGAGAGTTTCACAACAGAAAAAATATGCGCCGAAAAATATGCGCTGATTGGCGTTCACTGCCTCCCGCGAGGCTATGGTTCGTGAAAGGAAAGTTTCATATGAATCGATTTTGGTTAAAGAAGCGACAATTGAAAGAATTGTAAACTGTATTTATAAACATAAACTACCTTCAAGTAGAGCAGTTTTAAACAGGCCAAGTATTGATTACCTGCACTGAACAATTAATGTGGAACGCCAAACTTACAAATGCAAAAGCAGGTAGCTAGCTTGCTCTGAGGGGACGACTGAGGAGGGTCATTAGTTGTTACTGAACCGCTCCAGAACTAGAGCCCGCTAAAGATGATCAAGGCATGCTCAAGAAAGATCAGTCCTTTCTGTAAAGCCGTGTTATGAGAAATCAAAAAGTATTGCTGTAAAATAGGCCTTGGTTTTGCCTAAATAAGATAAAATTGCACCCAGTCTTAAATGAGAAGTAATAAATATAATGATAGGATAATTAACATTTATATGGCGCTGTTTTCTACTAATTGTTCAAAGCGCTAAAGGCGACATCAATAATCTATTTACGTTTTGAACAATGAAAGTCTTCCGGCTAATCTTTTTTTTGTTATAAGTCTTCTGACCAAGTTTTCGGAGAGAAAATAAAAGAACGTCTTTAAAAGCTGCCTCAGTTAAACCTTACTTCTCGTGGATATCAGACCAAACTTAAAGGAGCTTAAAACGACGACAGCCAACGGCAGTGAAAAAGCATGGATAATAGTCACCCAAAAAGTGAATTCTCGCTGTTTCCAACTTCATCGCCTTTATTCCAACTCTTTTAATGCGTCAAATGTTGGTGATTCTTTCAGAAGTTGAATCCCGACGGACTGTATCTAAGTTCACAAAACGAAAAGGAAAATCGTTGCTTTATGCGTTCACGTCCTCCATAAAACGTGAAATTAGGAAGTTTCGGCAAAAAAAATGTGCAAAAAACGTGATGCAGGTGCAAAGTTGCTGTTTTGTCAATTTACTCTATTGCTTGGTTTTGGCCTTCTCTTTGCCGTCGACGTCGTCATTGCTTTTATAAGCTCCCTTTAGACTTCAACACGACAGAGAACATATTAGCCCTTTATGTTGGGGTTTTTATATAATTATGTACTCTTGACTTCTCTAATTCAACTATTCCACGTAACAACCGACTGTAGTCATCATCTTGTATCACAAGACCTTCGCAAAAATTTTCCATTAGATTGCATTTGTCTTGAGTTCGATTTTAGGCGACTTCTGTTAACACTGCAGCCCATTTCACACCTCTCAGCGTTCGCTGAATCACATCTCGCCACTACAAGTTAACCATGCATTTCTTATGAGCCAATCGTTAACATTTTGGCCAATTCAAGTCATCGTTCAATCCCTATCCAAATTCTGTTTTCGTTATATCAAAATAAAGAAACGTTGACATTTGCTTTTCTGCTAATGTGATATTGACAAGTGAAAAAGTTTTGTTCATTTTTATTTAGTGGTCTCTGGTTAAGCTGGGCGCTACTCGAACGTTTGAAAGAATATAAGAATACTAACTATGCTGGCGTTGCTCCATATTATGGTGATACACGTGTTTCCCGCGCGTCTGATAACACATGGAAATAACTATGTATTCACCTTGAGGTTAATCTCGTGCTAAAAGCATACGCCTATACTCGCCCTAATACTTGTCTATACTGAAATACCAGATTTGAAAAACACGTTAAAATTTTTTTTCTAAATGGTAATACCTCACTGGAAACTTTTTAAAGTTCGTCTCTCTATGATACTGAAATAACATGCACGAGAATAAAACATATAACTTAATTGGCGAAAGTCAGTTGGAAAACTTTTCAATTAACCATGTTCAAACTGTAGAATTTCATTCACTGATTTAAACGTTCTTAGGTAATCAATAATCAAATGGTACAGAAATTTTCTTCTTCAAATCACCTTTGTTCCCTTCAAACACGCATATCAGAACAACAATAAATAAGAGCAAAAATCTGTATAAAATTTGTTAAACTCGTTTTACGCTAACCCAGCGTCAAATCTCGCACACACCCATTATCTTCCCCATTCACTATTAAAATGTTTAGAAATGGTAAAATTTAAATCATTAAGTTGTCATATGTTGAAAGTTGTGAATATATAAAAAACTGCAACTACTCAACGTTTAGTGTTTGTGCATAATTACAGAAGTTGACAACTTTTCAAAATATATTTTTTCTTACTTAAACATTTTTTCTGAAAGCATATTGCTTACTCCCTTTAATTTTGCCATTTTTTCTCTGAACATGGCGCAAGTCCTCATTCTACCAAGTTCATTTTCATGAATCTACAGGTTTTTCTATAAGCTCATTCATATTTAAACTCGTACAGTACTGATTCATATTACGATTAGAAATCTTTCAAGTAATTCACTTCGTAAAAAATTTAACGTTCCCATTTTTTCATTTGAATAAAGACACAATTTTATCGAACACAAAAGTACTGAAGTAGTTTTTTGCGTGAGTAAAATCTCTCTGTATTTTTTGTCTGTCTACCAGATATAATCCGTTCTAGCGACACTTGATCGACTGGATAGCAAATTTTTAAGTGAGTTAGACTAATCTTTTTCAGATTTTTCTTTCAAATTATTGCGATTCATCACTATTCTCACATTTATAATTGGTTTTATTTTGTGTTTTGTTACCCTATAAATTTTCCTTCTTCTTGTGCTGTGGAATTATTTCACTTGACAATGAATGTCATTGAATTGAATAGTGAATGAGAAATCTAAATCTAAGCCTTTCGGGTTTGGATCCCCTCGGTTCGACTTTGATTACGTAACAATTGCTCATTTTGTAACTATTGCTCTTTAGTTACATTTCTCGGTTTTTCTTTACTTAATTTTGTTTGTTTTAAGGTAGGTATTTTGTCTAATGGTATGTCGATATTAGACGCTTTCTTTTAGAAGCTTTCTGACTGTCAGAAGTAAACAGATCAGTTTATTTCATCAACGGAAATTCTAACCTGGAAATAGACTTTTTAAAAGTTTGTAGTGCTGGGTCATCAGTCAGTAAAGAAAACATTTTTTGATTTATTCTCTTCGAGCACCTTAGCAGAGAATTTTCTTCTTTTATGTTGAGAGGGCAAAAACAATTATTTCTCTTAGTACCTGGAAAACGTAATACATGTTGCATCTTAAAACGTTTGAATAGGAATTAATGAGAAAATGAGGATTAATTTCCAAATGAAAAAGGTGACATGCAAGTTACGTACTCTAGCTGCTGTAATAATCTGACGAAGTATCGATTAAGATCGTGAACATTTTGTTCTTAATCAGAAGAAATTATTCACGATTAATTTCTGAGTAATAGCCTCCATTTACACATTTTTGTCTGATGGCGGATTAGATGTAACTAAAGCATTTCAACATTGGACACTTTCCTTGTCCTGACAGTCTTAGTGGTCCTACCTTCTACCAACGTTATAACATTTTGAAGAAGCTATAAGGCTCCAGGAAATCCACTGCTCTGAGGATGAGTACCAATACAAAATTAGCCAGTTTTTGCTGTAGTAGCAGACCACTGTTCGAATTCAGGGACCTTATACAGACTATTAGGTCAATTTCATGTCATCAGCGTATTTGTGTTGATCCGGAATATTAAAAAAACCGCAAGGAGTCGAAAGTTCAAATGATATTTTGTGACCAATGAGAATTCGCCGTCAGAATTTCATGGATTGAACGAAATTATCGTATCGGCGACACGAGTTTGAGCCGCGCCCTCAATCTACGAACTATGACCGTTACACAGTTATTTCAATGATTACAGTGTAACCATGTCATCGAATTCACGATCATTTTTTTCACTCGAAAAAGAAAATTTAATAAAAACAGCTATATACCTATTGATGTCCCTAAAGTCAAGTATTACAGCAAAGTCGTTTTTGTGCCTACTGAAAGGGTGTTTCATTCAATGAACGATTTAAGGCCATGACGTAATCCAGAACAGATACTACCGGTCTCCTCTTTCCTTTTGGAATTCATCCACATGAAACCTCTTCCGCAGCACTTTCACATGATACTATATATTAACTTTGTAGTCTGAGTCTAACTTTTGAATCTGTGGATTAAATCTTTTGGTATGACCATTCAAATGAAACCTCGTTAACAGTACTTTCACATGAAACTATTTATTTATGTAGTTTAAAGTCAGTCTTACTTTTGAGTAGTCTAACGTTTCAGTCTGTGGAGAAAGTTCTATGGTGTGACCATCGTAATGTACTTTCTCGAGGTACTATCCACTGATCTAGTTTGTGGTTTTAGAACTATGATCTAAAATCCCATGGAGGCCTATCGAGTTACCAATGGTACTATTAATTTAACAGCATTAAACAAAGCGAAATTTGACACTGATTTTGTATCAATACATTCTTTCAGCCTTTGTCACAATGAAGAAGCGAAAGGGTAAAAATCTATGTTCTTGACGACCTATTTGAAATTATGTGTTCCCAAACAAACTTTATTCCGCTTTCAAACCTAAAACGTCCTTGCAAAAGGCAGGCGAAGTTTTTGTCACTACTTTGATGTATTCTCTGATTGCAATTCTTCTTCGCGTTTGAGTTTTTCCTCCATTTTTAATCACATTACACGAAAAGTGAATTGAAGTTTTTCTTTCTGCTAGGGTATTTTCTGTAGATGCGTGTAATTATGTGACTATAATGACTGTATTTCTCCTTTAAATTCATTTCCTGGCCGTTGACGCTAACTTTTTCATCTGCTATTTTTGCTGCACACAGGTCTGTAAGAATGTGGAGGAATATACATTGTGATTCAAGAGAGAACTTACTTAAATAGATGGATAGGTTTTTTACTGGATCAAACATGTCTGATTTTGTTTTATTCCTGACGAGTTCGAATAAGCCACAATTTTCAATACCCTTCAACGTAACAAATGCATTATTAGGGAGCTTAAGCATCAGCGACGGCGACAGCTGCGAAAACGTTCCTTAAAAAGTGAATTCGCGCTGCTTCAAACTTCATCGCGCTTATTCCATCTTGTTCAATTCGTCAAATGTGAACGAATTTTTCTGAAGTTGAATTCTACATGAATTTTAAATTCTATTGAAGTTGAGAAAAAGAAAAAGAAAATCGTTGTCCTGTTTCACGTCCTCCACAAAACGTGCTTCACGTCGTAGTCTTGCAAGGACGGAAAAAAATGTACAAAAAAGCGTGATGCTCTAAACCAATTACTTTTCTGCCGATCTTGTTGCCGTCGCCGTCGTCGTTGTTACTAACAGTTCTCTTGGTCATAAGATACCTCTCTCCTCTTCATAGGCCTCTTTGTGTCGTAGGAAGACTGGGGAGGGAGAAAAACAAAGCGCTCGAGGGACGATGGGAGGAAAGCAGTGGTACCGCTTTTCCCCCTTCTCATCGTCCACCGCGCGCTTTGCTATTTTTATTGGAATACCCAGCGGGGGCCTCTGCGGTGGAGAGAGATAAGGTGCGAAAAAAATAGAATTCCCAAGGTCATGTTCTTTTTCGTGTCTGTATTGATCCTGACCGTTTTGAGACTATTTGACTTTATTTTCGAAAACAAGTTTCAAGCTGAGAGGCTAAATAGTCATGCCCAAGTCTATGGTTTTCTGAAGGGACACGTAAAACGACCTAAGAAATCGAAAGAACCTGTTAAGACCGACAATAGAAATTTTTTTCTTATTAGTCGAGAGGAATGAGGCAGTTGGAAGGCGAGATTCATTCTTCCTGTCACGCGCACACGATTTTCCAAGAAATTTCCCTAAAAAGAGATGTTCAAAAATTTCAGCGTTAAAGTTAGGAACAAATCGACTGCAGTTTTTAATTGTGTGCTCTCTTAACGAATGAAAAAATAATGTAAAAATATAAAAAAAACTTGGGAAGGATCTTTTTTAGTCAGTGCAATGACAGCTTCAGGCGACTCGTGAAATAAAAGAATTCCAAGTTTCCCAACGGGTGTTGCACCCATGTCTTTTTCCGTTACCATCCCGAATATACGATTTTCTACCTCTGAGCTACAGAAGACTTGTGGGAGCCTATACCTTTAAACTACGTTTAAGAGAGAAAAATCCTGCATACTGTAGCTTGATGTAGGCTGACATCACGTCCGTAATGAATGTGATATATAGTCGATTTTAAGTCTAGTGAATATATGAAAGTTCAAACGTTTGCAGTGGAGCCACTCGCCTGCCGGCGGGTCTTTGTTTCACTTGAGCTTTGAGCATTTTGATGTAATTACTATGATGTAAAGTAGTGAAGACGGTGGAAATTGCGGTTGTTGTCGATTTGTTAAATGGATAGCTACGACGGAAATAGATACAAGGTCTGGCAGATGTTTTGTAGATGATTAACTGGCACTACATGGTTATTACCGCGTGAATCACTTGACGCCTGAGTACGATGGTCGGTCGCACTATATAGCTTACCAACCTGACAGTAAAATCGGTCCAACAACGAGCACATAACAAGCTTAACCAGAGTAAATTAAGCGCATGTTACGAACATACATGACTTCTTTAATTTGTCCGCGCTAGCCTGCGTAGCTGGCCGGATTACTAGCGCGAAAATCCCTCGCGGCTCCACCGCCAACAATCTCGCCAGTTACGGAGGCTTTGTTCGCGCTCGCAAGTCTCGCCACGACAACTTGCTGTCCTGACTGACTTAAAAAGACCCGCTAGCAGTCAAAAGTCATATTCAACAAATACGTGAAATCCTTGTATACCAATCAAGTCCTGACTCCCAACCATTATCTCATGACTGACTTTCTTAGTTCTGCTATTCCAAAGACAGATGTTTATGCTCTAAAAACTAACTAAAATGTTGAAACTTACAGTTAGTTTCGACGTCGTGGTCGGGTTGTAAGAAATCAATTGGCCTAAACTATTCCATGGCGCTCCACAACGAATAATTTCCATGATTCGTTTTGCGCACTAGTTTATATGTCATAAGAGTCGAAAGTTCACATTGGTACTTTCAGTGTTACTTTTTCTGGAATGCAATCGGACTTTGGCCCTCTTCCTGAACACAAAAATGAATCGACAAGATTTAAGGAATTTTGAAGACGCGATTACTATTGTTTGCACATTCACGTTAGATCGAGTTCAGAAAGAAATCACCTATTACCGCAAATGATTTGGCGGAATAACTTCAGCGAAAAGAAATCGTTTTTCTTCCGATTCAATCAAAATTGTAAAATTCTGATCTCTTGCCCTTTTTTTACCATTTCAAATGGGCAGACCGATTTCACTTTTTATACTCAAAAGAGGATTTTCCTAGAAAACTGGCTAACTTGCATCAGAATTTGCCCTGTGGGTAACAAGATGCATGTCCTGAGCAGATAAACTGAAGTGTGACCTTGGAAGACCAAACAGCATTTTGCCTACAGAGTAGATAATTGTCATTTTTGCCTCATGAATTCATCATTCGTTTTCGCAAGCACTGTTAATGCTTGCAAAACTGTAAACTTCGCCCTTTCAGTGGCAAATAGTATGATTCAAAGTTGAACTTCAATAAAGACTTAATTAAGTGAAGGAGTTTATTTAAGAGCACATTAGAATTTGTTTTATGAACCATGCTCGCTGTTAGCCACTTTCGATATGACTTAACTCAGCTTTTGATGTGGAAATGACCTTTCATTCTCATACAAATAAAACTCATTTTCACAAGAAAGGTTGTGCACTTGGCCTCATTTTGAAAGTGAGGGTTTTTGGAACTCGGTAGTGGCCTATTTTGCCAATTCTGGTACACGCCTCTGTAACAGACCCTTACAGTGGAATTTATATCTTTACGGGGTTCCCGGAGAAAATGTCACCGGGTTGGCTTATCTTCCACTATTTTTATTTTGGTAGTTGTGTATCTCCCATAAAGGCTAAAATGGGTGGTAGGACTTACATCTTTACCGCCATAAAACCTTTAAAAACCTTTTACATAGCGCTCTAGTCTAGCGAGAAGAACTAATATAACTGATTTATACTTTTATACGAGATCGATTACCCGTACCCTGCGATTTTTTTTTTGTCAATGATAATAACGTTTTACATTTTTATATGAATAACGAAATACACTGGTTTTCTAGAAGTCACAAAAGAAAGTGAGTGGGGAAGCCAAAAACTAGCCGGGTAGAAACAAACTATTCGCCAGGTATCGGGGAGGCTAGATTATAGACTGAAACTGAAAGTGATTTTACTTAACCCGTGATATAGATAGCAGACTAATACGAACTATTACTCTCTTTATACCACTATGAGAAATTTCTGCAATTTGATTGGCTTAGAGCAGTGGTATTTCAGCCTAATTTAAAATACCTACTTGTGAGAATTACAAACCTTTTGCCGGTAGTAGCATAAACAAATAATAGCATGATTTGTACGTGATATTTGGCATAAATATCACTCGTGATATTTCAAAATTGTCTCAAATTTCACTCGCCTAACGGCTCGTGAAATTACGTAAAACAATTTCGAAATATCACTCGTGGTATTTATTCCAAACATCATCACTAATCATGCTATTACCTATACAAGTTTACTGCTTTGTTTTGTTTACTTGTAACTATTTGGCACTAATTATACTGTTTCAAGGGTTTAGTAAAATCACTCTAAACCACTGGGTAGGGTTTCACTGGGTCTGTTGCAGAGGGGTGTTCTGGCATATAAACATTTTTTTAGTAAAAGTATGAATAACATCTGCAGTTCAGGCTCTACTAAACACCTTCACTAAACATAAATGAATTTTTCTGGAGTCGAATTCTTAATGGTTCGTATACAAATTCAAAAAAGGAAAGCTGGAAAGCTCGTCTTGTGTTTGCGACTTCCATAAAAACCTGCAATTTTGATGAATTTTCATGTGGAAATCGTGCAGTGACGATATAGAAATGTATAAAACACGTGATGCAAGTGCACGGTTGTTGTTTCGTTAATCAAAACACAGGTGGACCACCCTGATACCCTCTATAGTATGGCCGTTGTTGTTTTTGAAATCTTAGCATAACAATCTTCTTCACTTTATTTTTTAGTTGTTATAGAAGAAATACACATGAAAATTTGCTCCTAAACAGAGGCTTGAATGTGAAGTTTTAATTAATAAAGGCTCAAACGAAATGTTAACTAAGTTATGTGTCCTGTTTTTCGCTGTCCCGAGCTGTTTAATTCGCCACATTTCGTTTAAAACTTTTAACCAAAACAATAGACCTTATTCACGATATCCGCCATTTTTGCACACGCTTGAGGATTGATGGGATAAAGGCAATGTCACGTGGCAGGTTTCAGGGGACACAAAGAAGATAAAATTTGCAAATGGGAGAAATCGCGGTCGAGTTTGTTTATTCTCCCAAAACGAAATGAAGATTTAATGGTCATGCAAAATGTACGATTTGAGTTTCGACAAAATTGACGTCATTATTCTTTCGTTCTATAGGTATAGCTTTAGCCCTGAGGAAGGCTAAGTTTGTTAGCCAAAATATTGGCCTATAATAAGTCAGCCCTTTTCCCGTTGTGCCAGCCTTGCATTCAGTTTTGTTTAATTTTACACATCATCGAGAGACGTCTGGCTACAGCATGTCTTTAATTAGAGATCCGGCAAGAGGAACCAGTCAGTTTTATATACGCGTTGCGTGGACCTCTGCATTCAAACAGTTTTTCCCAACGTCATTATTGCTTGCTGTGAGGACATCTGCGGTCGCTGCTGTATCCAAAAAAGTAAAAATGATCACTTCCACCTATAATTTGCGGTTATCGTCTTCAAAAAACAAAGTTGTTCCTTTTCTGTTGTCAAGAATAAACAAACTTGACCGCAGACTGCGAGCAGTCTCTCTTTTGCTCGTGAGAGTATTTGAGCAGCGAAGTCGCGCTAGTTGCGAGGGCGCGAGTTGCGAAGACGCGAATACGAGGGCCCTCGCAACTCGCGCGACTTTACTGCTCAGATACTCTCGCTTACAGGTTTTCAAGCAAAAGAGAGACTATTTGCAGTCTAACTCGACCGCGATTTTGCCTCCTGAGAAACCACGTGACATAGTCCGTCAGTCTTTAAGCTCGCGCAAAGATGGCAGGCATAAACCACCACAAACGATCAATGCTCAGATATCGATTTTGATAATAAAAACGTCCGCACGAACAGAGGGTGGTCTGCCAGCCGTAATAGACCCATTGCTTTGTCGACGTTCTTGTTGCATTGCGTAAGCTTCCAATTTTTCAATGTGAGGGGAAGGGTTTGGTTCCTGTTACGTGTAAGCCACTCGAGCGGGACGCACAGGGTCAACTGCGTGTGAATGCGTGTCGATGAAGAGCAACTTAACACCTTCCTTTTTCGCTGAATCGAGTATACTGATAATCTCGTGGTGGAGATACGAATATACTTGCTTACATCCCTCGAGCAACTTATCACGTAGCACATAATTAAGGTAACTTACCATTGCTACGTTTATCTTTTCATTCCAAAGATCAACTTTAATGGCGAATGAAAGGAAAAAG